GTAGATGCTTACTGCAAAAATATTTGATCAGAGGTAAGTTTAATTGAGATGGTTGGAACACTCCTGGCCCCCATAAACTCTGTTAAGGGCCCCATATGGGCTTGGACCGTCTCTGCTGTGTCCTAAATGGCAGCAGGTCTGAACATGTTTTCAATACAGTTATAAAAAACAACAAGTATAAATGTTTATAAGATTTTAATAATTCAATCAAATAAAAACAAATATTCATTTCAGTAAATAAGGTAATAATTTAAATGGAAGTACAACTGTAAATATTATTTAAAAAATTAACACTGTTAACATAAAAATGCATAAATATTTTGTATTCTTACCCTTTTGAAATTTCTGGGCAGCGTCCCTCCAGAGTAAGCCAGGGTCTTGTAGTTATAAACCTCCGAGGAGTTGGCCGGGAGCTCCAGCGTCCTGCAGCTGTCCGACTTTGACGAAGGGAAATAAATGTCGTTGTCTTGGGATGCGGGTCCTCCGTCCACCCCGCTGGAATTCACCTTCCTCAGCCTCCTGAAAGTCATTGTTGTTTGGGAATAACGAGAGAACCCGAGCCGTGGCTTCTCCGATACAAAAAGAATAACAGAAGCGTGGAACAAGTTGACGGAAAGAGATGCTGAGATGAATGTTTCAGCCTCAACGTGGAGTTGAGTGAAACTTCAGAGCGTCTCCTCTCAGTGCTGCCACTCAACAGGCTGAGGAGGCGGAGACAGCGGTGCGTTCAGGGACGCCTCGGCCGTTTGCCTTTTTTATTTTACAACTCAGGAGACAACGAGTGTTGTTATTCATATAAAGGTACAATGTGTAATTATTGCAGGGATTTACTGACTGATAGGTTACTATGTCTAGGCCTTAAATTAAGATCATTTAAATGATACAGAGATAAGATCACAACTTTTATCTGCTAAAATATCGTTTTACATTTTTTTTAAAGTAACATTTGTTACAGCTGATTATCAATTATACTTTAACTTAAATCCTAGTTTTATTTGAATAAAGTTTTTATTCAAAATGGATCAAAAATATGTAATTTTCTTGAATTCTTAATGTACATTGGGATTATATTCGAAAGAGTAGCTGTATTTTGTATTTTAGTAAATATTTATTTAACAATTAAATAATTTTAGTCTATTCTGATCATGGTAAGAGATATTTATTTTATTTTAGGTAGATAAAATTAAGATTTTGAAACAAAAAAATGATTATTTTAATTGTAACAACATATATTTTTATTTGATCTAAATGAGGTGTAAATTTCATATCATTAAGTGCAGAGCAGCACCTGGCTCTTTGGTTTTATGGCTCTCCTGATATATTAAAAGTGATAAAATATTGCCCAGTTTATTGTTTCATCCTTTTCGGTAACCTCATTAAACCATGCTGGCCCCACCCTGGCCCCCTTAGTAAATTTTTGTAGAACTGCCACTGCAATTTTAGAGCAATTCATTTTACCCAATGACAGAAAAATATATGTTATATAAAATAAGCAATTATTGATATAAAAGAACATTTATCACAAATTTTAGGGACCAGTTTTACATGATAGGCTATTGTAAATAAAGAACCTAGAGAATAATTTATAAACGAGATTCATTTATCATATTTAGGGGGAAAAGTGTGCAGCACAAGAAAATGTGATTTAATATTTAACAATGAGTGGAAGACCCTGTTGGTGGTTACATAAATATTGTTTTTCCATAGTTTTGTTTACAGGATAAATATAGACCTGAAAAAGACTGCAATTGTAGGTTTTATTGTAAAGAGGAAGAATATAAGCAATATCACTCCTTCTTGTTGTTGTTGTTCTTCTTGTATACACAAAACAGGTTGTTTATTTGCATTTTCTTTTTCTTGATGAGATAAAAGAAATGTAAAGAAAAATATTTTGGGCACCAATCATGTGGATTCATAAGTCTGCATAAATCAGCAAAGAAAAAATGTAGTCACTGACAGCTATGTTGATTCTCACTTCTCACCTCATTTGGGCACAGTTGTTTCACAATATGCTCCACAGCATAAATGTGTCAAAACAGGTCAAATTATTTTAGTAGAAAATACGAAAAATAATCTATAATTACCTTTAAAGTAGGAAAATGTTAGATCCATTAGATTCTGTTGGCCCTATTGTAACATTAAACTGATGATATATGATCATGTAAACACTGTAAGAAGTAGAGACCCAGAAAAACTCCCATCTTTGATAGCAACCAGAGTACTTTATTCAGGCGAGAGTTTAAATAGTACTTAACTTTAAGAAAAGAATGAGTGCCAATGAAGCTGTTGGGATATTTTGGTGTGAGATTGTGTTATGTAAGAAACAGAAACTGCAAAGTCATTGGATGTAATGGTTTCTTGTCTTTTCTGTGGAATAGAATTGGAGCAGGGCCCTCATCACCACTATTTTGTACTAAACAGGCAAAAAAAAACACAGGCCTGAATTTATGTAACAACCAGAGGACTGACTGACTGACAGAACCCTCTGGTGGCCACATGTGTAAGTGTTACACAAACAGTGTTTTAAACTAAAGGTTGATGTGAAAAACAAATTTTAGACCAAGGTCAAACTGAAAGTACAGTATATTGTTTATAAATACTGTGAGTTAAAAAGTCACAGGAATAAAAGCATCCTTTATGCATTTATAAATGAAGACGCAAACAGATTATGCTTGTTAATTACCAAATCTAATTTGATTAGTCCAGTTTTGGTTTTATGGCTGAGACTGTCAGCTTTATGTTTAAAAATAAGATTGAATTAAATGCTTTTAGAACAGTAGTACTATTTAATGTAACCGTCATAGTAAAGTAGTGTATCATATTAAATTGAAAGACCTGTATTTGTACATGCAAGGCTTAGACTGTTTGCTTTGAGAAATGTGTTTAAAAAAACGCATAATCTTTTCAATAACAAAGACACTTTTTGTTTCACTGCAACAATTACAAAAGTATGCCTTAAGAATTCCCCTCTGGGCCTGTTTAAAAAAAAAAAAAAAAAAATCTCTCACAAGACTTTTAGTGTGTCTGCAAACCAAATCACATTGAAACATATAGCAATTCTACCAGGAGTTCCTCAGGGCTCAGCACTGGGAACTATTTTGTTGTGATATATGTTTTTTTTCTCAAGTCAGATAATTCAGCAATTGGTTGATGTTACTCATCTCTACAAATTTAGACAGTGGTAGAATAACAACTACAAACAGCTAAACAGACAAAACAGAATCTCTATTTACTTTTTCTGCACTGGTCTAGGGCAAAAAAAAAAGATTGGATTTTGATTAGTCAATTACTGAAATACTTGTCGACCAATTTAGAAGACAATCACTCGGTAACTAGATTATAAAGCATGCAATTTGCTCATAAACAAAAGTTATTATGTTAAACATATATTAAACACAAAAACATATACCTTTTGCATTTAAGATTAAAAAAAGGTCTGTGTGTAAATACGCTATATCCTGAATTCTGAACTTTTGCTTTTTTTTGCCTTAATTTTTTTTGTTTATTTTTAGTTTAAACTTTTTTGTTAAGGTATGTTAATTAAATAATACATTCTATATTTAGATAAATTGGACAAATGATCCACTGACTCATCGTTTACATAATAATTGAGGACAGCAGCAGATCTGACATTAACCAGCAGCTGTTTGATTTAGGGCTCTCCCACTAGCAGCATAACCTAAAAAGCTTTTATTTGTGTAGCATCATTTAAAACATATACTGTATTAAGATCCTGCTTTATCCTCTTAAAGCATAGATAAATTGTGTGAACAAGTGAACTCAAGATGGTTGATAGTGCTTCAGTCTCTAAATGAGTGGACTATTATTATGGTCTGTTTCCTTGTTGCTTAGGGAACTATGTCATTCTCAGGTTAACCAAAACTGTTATTCGAATGGCTCCCTTAAACAAGAAAATCTCTATTTTAAAGTGACTATATTGTTTGCCAATTAGATCTAGATTTCCGTTTTACCTTTTGTGTCAACCTTCAAAGCTTTACATAGACAGGCTCCTTTCTATATTTCTGATTTGATTTCAATACATAGCTTTGGTTGTCTGAGGTCACTGTAGTTTTTCCCAAAACACCTGCTTCAGAAAACAAGAAGACAGAAGCTCTTGCAGCTTTTTTTATGTGTTTACTTTAAAGGTCCCATATTATGAAAAATTCTCATCATAAATATTCTGTAACAGTCATAGGTGAGAAAAACCCATTTCCCTATATTATTGCCTTTCCTGACCTCTTATCTAATGTATCTTCTTGAAAACCATGCCCTTTATGATGTCATAAGGGGAAATAAGCTGTCCAGGGTGGTCTGTAGCAGCCGTTTGGTCAAGCTACGGCCTTCATCTGTAATATTCTGTGCTCCTATGTTATCTTTACGAACTCTGACTGATTGTCATGGTGACGGGTTGATGGGGGCATGACCTTTGGGAGGACAGGGCAATGGAAAGCCACAACAACTCAGCCAGAGGAGGGCTGAATAAGATTATATATGGGAAAGGTTTTCCGCCTACTCTCAGAGAAATGATTCTGCACAAAATCATTCCCCGGGGGGCCTTATTATTGATATCTTAAATTTTTAAATATAGAATAATACAGGACCTTTAAAAAGCAGCTAAAGACGTTTCTATAACTCAAAGCTTTAAGTCAGATTTGAGCTTTTATCATTTCCATTTATGATCATATTGTTTGTGTACACCTTGCCCAATGTAATAAAGGTATAATTAAATTGATTTTGTTTTTTAATACTTTATTATGATTTGATGTGATAAAACATGTTATTAAGGGGCTATTTAGTTATCCTGGAAAATCTCGAGCAGAAAAAAAGAGTAATGGGACCATAAATCAACCAATTCTGAGTAAACTTATCAACATCTTGATTTAACATAGAAAAAGAAGCATTTCATTGATACATACATAAGGGGAATTCTGCCCCCTTGAGGTGAAATGGGTAAATTACAGCATTATGTTGAATAGATGTAAAATAAGCACAACACAAACTGAAGCCCAGACAATTTATTATGATTACATTGAGTTATTACTTTTACATTCTGCTTATATACTGAAATCTTACAGCTGATAAAGCATTTAAATAGACTATATACTTTAATAAATAGCCCCACTCAATAGTCTATATCTTTAACACATTCAGAAAAGAATGTGTGCTGATTATTACTGAAGTTTCTAAAAGAATAACTTTCTGCTCTAATTAAAACTCAGACAAACCAAATTTGGTCCACATAAAATTAGAAAACAGAGGAACAAAAATATGCTTGCTTTTCTGCTCCCCCAAAAACACTTTCAAGTATCTCTGAAATTAGTTTAAAAAAAATATCTTAAGCCTTAAATTGAAATGAAGGAGTTTGTTTCTGCACCTTTTTTTTCCTTGAATGACATACATTTCAGAGCAAATTTACAGCCACAATAAAGCTGGAATACTACATGGTCAACGCTCCAAGTGCAAAAATACACAGAAATTCTATCTAATCAGAACAGAACAGATAGAAAAGGCACATGAAGCCAAATAGCTGTCCTATTTAAAATCATAGCCACTTTAAACTTTATTAAGGTGTCTAAAGAGCAGCACCTCCACCCACTGTCAAGATTAGAAAGAGCAGGAGTGGAGAGTAAAACTAAAACACTGAGATAGTTTGGTCAAGATTCTTTTGGCCACGATCCAAACATAGCTTACAATTCTGCCTGTATTCATATGAAGCCATGCTTGAAATGTGTGTTAAAGAGACAAAATGTTTGGAAGATCACTTTTTCTTTCTGATAATGCAAATATACTAGATCATACACTGATTCTATATCAAAAAGTGTCAGTCCTGATTATAGAGTAAACATGCATTAAGAGAGTCAGTTTTATTTGAAGAAACCTGATGGTTTGGCTTGAGGACCCATCAACATGCTTGCTTGATTCTTGTGTGTGATATGAATCTGAAAAACAACAAAAATGTAAAACCCTCTGTGCTTAAGACAAACTAAATCAAACATTTTAAAGCTAATGCAGAGATTAAAAATGTGTATGAAACAGGGTTTCTGCATGTTTTATAAAAGCAGATTGATTTTAAAATAAAAAATAATAATATTTACTTAAAGACTTTGTAACCCCAAAACCCTTCAAAAATGTATTTAAAATTTAGCCAAAATGTCTTGAAATAAGTGTTGTTCCCTTCATTTAGACAAATACATTTGGGAAAAGGACAATGTGGATGGAGTTTTGTTTACTTTAATAGCAAAAATCTTATTCTATTTGCCAAATCATTAACTTATGTTTAACTTTAATAAAATACATTTCTTAAAAATCAAAGTGTTTGTGTGAAGAAATGAATGACTATCTGTAAAATCTGAAAATATTTAGGACATATTTAGTATATCTTTAGATATTAAACTGTAGATGACGTTATTTAATCCTTTTAAAGAAGTATCAGAAATCCCTGCTTCACTACAGCTTTAAGGATGTTTCAAAGTGTTATTTACCGTGCAGGGAGATTGCATCCATGGCTCTCCGTCGATTTGCATTGGCAATGGTTTCTTTGTCCTGGGTGTGAAAAACAGGAACATCAGCAGGTTGCATGGAGCCATTATTATTCATATAGGTACTTACGATACTAAAAAGAGCTGTCATCAATGCTTATATAAATGTAAAGCAGCTTCTTTGAACTGTGGCTACCTTAACTATGAGCTGTTCTCACTATGGGATTTTAGGCTTGACAAACAACAGGAGACTCGTTCATACCGGATGGTGATCTGTGAAGTTTTAGCAAGCCTCACAGCACTTTTGAGTCCGGTGTATATCTGTCCCATTTCCATTGCTCCTTCCAGGCCAACCACCTCCAGTCGGCGGTCACTGATGTCTAAAAACAGAAAAGATCAGCTCAGTTTTGTCAAAATCCAGATTAAGTGTTTTTTATCAGTGAAAAAGAAAAACAAAACATAATTAACAAGAGTCTAATAATTTATGATCTATAAGTTGGGAGGTGGAGCCTTCTTGGTTCAAACTGGATTGTCCAGAACAACCCTAACCCTGAAATCCCACATACTCCGTCTGCGCTCCGCTCCGCTCCGCCCCGCTGCGCTCCAGACCGCCTGCACAAAGCAAAGCCTACAGCCGCCGCTGTGGTCCCCTCCGCTCCGCTCTGAGTTCCTTGGAGATCGTAGAGGGCATGCGCCAGATGAACCAGGGTTTCCGCGGATCATTAAAAATAATTACAATTCATAATTCTTTTTTTAGTCAAGCCCTTAATTGGCACTAAAATTAATTAAATATGTTTATCGTTGCATTTATGATTCTTTAATAAAAATGCTTCTAAAAACAATTTCGTCAGATATATTATATCGCTGTTAATTTGCGTGGAACTGTTTATAAAGCCGTATGTTCGGAAAGGAAGCTCGAGGCGGAGAAAAAGCTAGAGAATATATATACGTATATATGTGTGTGTGTGTGTTTACATAGGCCTACATACAGGAGTCTTGGAACTCTGCTTACAGCTCCTTCATATTTCATGTACACTAATAACTTGTGTACATGGTTCTTGTTGATGGCATTAAAATCATTTCAAATAGCATTTAAATAGCATTAAATTAGAGTCACTCATTCCTGTATGAACCCTGTGAGCGCTTAATTTAATATGACATATTAAAAAAATCCCACCATCATCCAGCATATGTTCAGTTTCTGCCCAAATATATATATATATATATATATATATATATATATATATATATATATATATATATATATATATATATATATATATATATATTTGTAGATTTTTGTAACTGAGATAAGGATAATTCAATACTGCTTTTTTTTAATGAACTTGTTCTATACAACTCAGCACCTCTTTTCATTCCTGTAATAAGAAGTTTCTTTTGAATGGATTTCATTAAAGTTTAAGTCCCTTTGGTATAAAATAAATATTTTGATGGAGATGAGAAATCTGCTTCCTCGTTGGTGAATAACCAATAGTTTGGATCCAATCATTTAAATAAACGGTGTTAGTTTTTTTTTTTTTTTTTTAGATATTTATAAGAATTGTGCTCTAATTTCTAGTCACCAATCTGTTGCTACTATATTTTAATTTGACGAACCGGAATTTGTCGATGTTCTTTTTCCTGTTTGGTGCGATTGCAATTGCGGATCTTGACCTGGCCGGACCGGAGCGGAGCAAAAAATAGCTCGGCTCCGTAATTTGTCGGTGACGGACGGAGAAGACGTATGTGGACGGAGACGTGCGGAGGAGTAGCGGTGGATGTGGAACAGCTCTCATTGATTTCCATGAAAGACAAGCGCTCCGCACGACGTACGTCAGCGGGGCGGAGCGGAGCGCTGACGGAGTATGTGGAATCTGGGGGTAAGATGCTTGATATGAATGTGATCTGGGACATTTGAAGACTGGACATTGAAGCATTTGTCGTGCTTCTTTAACCGTTCTAAACGGTTTTTACTTTGCCATATCATGGCCAAAGCCACGAAAGGCTGGTCTGCAGCAATGGTCAGGTAGATGGTCTGTATTAAGGCAGGGGTTTGCAAAAAGCCTCAACCTTATTTAGGATGGCTTCTCATAAACCAGAAATGTTCGCCTGATGAATGTATGATGAAACCTAAATAAATGTCTTCTCTTATGAGTTTTGGTTTTTAATAAAATGTCATATAACCAATAGAGCTCTAAAAAGGTTTTATTTAGCGTGACATAATGGAAAAATTTTATTTTTACTGTAAAAGTCACTGATCCTTATGGTACAGAAAGTTATCCTATAATATAAGGATCCTATCCATCAGATCCATGGTGGTGATAGACAGGGAAAGGCACGGACACCCTATTTGGTCAGCAGCAACATAAAGTGATGCACTGTTTTATTCAACTCTTCAAAAATCTGCATTATTTTCTGCAACAACTTTGAGCTACAGTGACTCTTCTGTTGCATCCAGCCTACGCTCTGCATTAACATCAGCCTTAGCTGGCCAACACTCCATCTCCAGTTCAACACTGCTTGTAATTGATACTGACCACTGCAGATGGGGGTCGACCCACAACTGCAGCTGTTTTTTGGAAGCATTGATCCATCAACATTTGTAAAAATGTCTCAAATCCTCACAGTAGCACTTTCCTCCTGGTTTGAAGGGATTAAATAAAAGGGTTTTTCACTCCCATGTATAAAGTTATAACTGTTTATTTTAAACTTAAACTTTTACCAACACAAATTATCATAAATACATTCACTGACATGAAGCAGATATTACTTCAGTGTTTTGTTGTACTCTGAAGGTCTCCAGAGTCACCAGATCTTAATCCAACACAGCATCCATGGGATGTTGTTGAATGTGAAACAGAATCTGCAGCTTTTGAGGCTTTCGTATCAATATGGACCAAAATCCCAAGGAAAGCTTCAAGAACCCCATTGAATCCATGCTTGTAAAGAACTAAATCAGTCCTGAAGAAAACTGGGTGTCCAACCCCTTTGCAGCAGATTTACCAGTTAAAGTGGCCATAACCTGCTAAAGTAAACCTGAAAGCTGGATGTTAGGTTAAAAAGTGTGTCTCTTTCGCCCTCAAGTGGCCAAAAAGGAGTATTGAGAGGTTTCTGCAGAATGAATGCCAATCCAACTGACTGCAAAGGTTGTTTTTTTTTCTTTTGACTTATTTCAAACTATTGACATTTATCCATTTAATCATTGATAGAGGTGATTGCAGTAACTAGAAAAATGTAAGCACATAAGAGTAGCACTGCTTTAACATTTTACTAGAGTAAAATTAAAAAAGCAGTTATTCAAAAGGTTACTGAAGTTAAATTAAAAAAGCAGTTAAATGGCAACTCGAGTAATGAGTAAATGCTGGCTCATAATATCTGATTTAATGTTTAAAATCATACAGAATAAAGTGCAGATGATGGTATTTTAAAGGAATGAGATAAAGTACAAATATGAATAAATAACATGATTACAAATTAATTAACTAAAAAAATTGCGCAAAAGAAACATTTTTTCAAATAAGTTTGAAAACATAAACTCATAAAATTAAGTAGGTAATGCATGTATATTAAGGGTAGGATAAAGAACTTACATCTACAAAATTAGATTTTTTACTTTATTTTTTATTTTATTTTCTATTTGATTGAACTCTGAATAGGTCAGGTGACACATATTGGGTCAAATACCCAGAAATTTATATAAGCAGCGATGCTCTCACAAGGATATTACTTAAAGTGAAACCTACAGTAAATACATAAAGTACATTTATACCTAGAAGTTACTGAAGGAAATGTTATTGAGAAGATGTAACCAGTTACTACCCGCCTCTTAGCATTACCACCTCTAACAGGACAAAGAAAGATAAAGCTTAATTAAAGTCCATGTAGTTTTAAGCCCCGATGCTAACTTTAGCACCTCTGCAAAACGTCTGAAATTATGAGAATAGAGAATAACACAAACATCTGCTGCTGCTGACAAAAGCTTTCTTGTTTTCACAAATTACATCAGAAACAAAATGTACCGATCACTCTCTGCATTATGGAGAGAGGGATCCTCTGCAGCCTCTACAGAGGCAGGATATGATTTACTGACTGCAATTAAGTGATGTGGGTGGAAACTCACTACCGATGAAGGCTTTTTATGTATATGTACACCTGCCTCTGGCAGCAAAAAATAAAGGGAAAACCAACTCCAACAACAGAAAAGAGCTTTCCAGTAAAATACGTAAATGGTGTACCTATCCAAATGGTTATTTGGTGGTATAGAGCTGGTTTGGTGTGTCTGTTTTTTGTATTTTCACATGCAGCCAATTGAGAACAGGCCCTAAGGCAGGCGAACTTTACTGGGATTTAGTCAGTTTGTGGTTTGCTGTTGTGTCTGTGCTGGATGTTCAGTTTATGAGCTTTTTAACTGATAGCAGCTGCAATCAGGAAATCTGGATTTGGCTTTGCTTAAAAACAATTAGCTAATGGGTTCTGCAGAGCAAAGAACCTCAATATTGCACTCTAGTCACATGGTAGGGGATGGGGGGGTTACTTCACCACTCAGTGCAGCTGATGCTGTCTATTAGAAATTACCTTGAGAAGTCACTTTCAGGATCTCGGGGTTGATAATTACGTCTGGCTCTTCCTGACTCGCCTGGCCCTTAGTATCTGCCTTTTTGGTCTCCCCCCATAGGTTGGACCCACCGTGCATGCTGGGAATGTTTAGGATAGCAATCCCCTCCAGAGAAAGAGCGCTGAGGTCTAGAGGAGTGCCACAGCACTGGTAAAACAATTGCAGGTCACAAATTGATGGAGAGAGAGGAAGAGAAAGAGGGATTAGCAGCGGTTATCTACAAGATAAAAAAACGCCCATCCAGGTGCCTCTGGTGAAACGTGCTCACCTCTATTGTCAAACTTTCACTGAGTTTCTTGCAGGAAGCAGAGATGGTTTCTGAAGTGGCGAATTCAAAATACCACAGCTTGTTCTTCATTCTGCAGATTTAAAAAAAAAAAAGTGTGTCTTTTAGGTGTAACTGGCGCTTTCCGTCTCTCAGGAAGAGAAGTCTTGAGGTGACACAGCTGCAGCTGCTGTAAACACCTGTGCTGCTCAGCCTGAAGACGCTGTTCACCAACATTGCATTGTTTTGTTCTTTTTAACAATGCTTTTATGACTGTGAGTGGGTTTACCTGCTGTTAAATTTCTGAGGATGTTTCTCCCTCATTGTATGAAACCTGTGTGCAATAGAGGCGTCCTGCCGATGCAACACAAAACAGGAATAAACAACATAGAATCTAATGACCTACTTCCCCTTGTGTGACACATTTCTGGCAAACTCACAACTCCAATTGAGAAGTAATTGTTGATGATCTCATAGGGCACTGGATCACCCTTCTCCTGGATCTCATCCGGTATAACCTGCACGTTCCAGCGGTCCATCGGCATCGGAGAGCTGTTCTCGATGTCTCTCAGAATACGAGCCAGATCTTCACCGTCATATCCTGCAGAAAAGAAAAAAAAAAAAAACAGAGGAAACACGGAGTTACTTCCTGTGCATAAATGTTACGCATTTTTGTAAAGTACGGACCTGCTCTCACCTCCACCCCAACGCAGACATCTTGCAAGGTCATTTCCTGTGCCCAGAGGAAGCACTGCAACAGGAGGTTGAGCTGGCAGATTGGCTTTATCTGATTGCAAGAAAAGTACAGACGGGCAAAGTAAAGGAAATGCGTAAAAGCAATCTGTTTAGTAAAGAAAAAAGATTCCCGCAATAAGCTAACCTATTGCGTCCAGAATCCACCCAACTGTTCCATCTCCACCACACACCAAAATTCTGTAGTCCTGCAGGTCTCGGAAGAAACTCAGCCTGAAATTCAGATGATAGTGTGAAATTCACAAGCAGGACATGAAAACAAGGCTGAGGAATACAGTCTGAAATGACTCACCCTGCTCCAGGGCCACCACTGGAAAGGTTGTACACCTGCCTTGGATTCAGCAAATACTGAAATTTACGCAAGACTCTGAAATATAAAAGGAAAACAAAACAAGCTCAACACTGTGATCAAATTGAAGTTTCTTATTATAAAGTCATACATTTTTGGAGCTCACCTTTCTCCCTGCTTGCCACCACTTTTAGGATTAACAAACACCAGAAGAGGATGAGTGTTTGGCACAGGGCTGATCTGTTTGGTAAACATTTGATAAATTTAATATACAGCTAAATTAAAATATAACTCAATCCACAGAAGTTTATTTTACTCTAACTCTTCCTGGAGAAAAGTGTAAGTTCTCCTTCCACATTTTGTCAAGATTTTGAACAACTTAAAAGGATTTGAAATTATATTTTCCAACACAAAGTATAAAAATATGAATTTTTTTAAACAAAATAAAAAATGTTGAAGGTATGACATGCAATTGTTATTAAATATCTTTACTCTGCTAAAGATTAATAAACTTCTCACCACCTTATTAACAAACAGATTTCAGCTGCACGTCATTTAATCTCAATATGAATGCAGTTATATTTGAAATACAGCATCACCGCAGTAAAATCATGTTGGAGAGATTTTATTCCTCAGCACGGCCAGAGAAAATGGTCAAAACTCGTAGGAAAATGGATGGAGCAAAACACGGGGAAATCTGGGGATAGAAACCTTTCAGAGAGGCTGCAAAAAGACTCAAGATTGGGTAACGTGACATTAACTCTAAGAGCCACAGCGCACAGGTTTAGATCGAAGTGATTAAAGAAGTTAAAAAAGCTTAAATGTCCTAGTTAAAGTTAAGACCTGCATCCAATTAACAATCTGTGGCTAGTGTTGAAAAGTGATTTTTAAAAATGTTCTCTGTCCAGTTGGATTGATCTGAGACATTTTACAGACTTAAACATGTAAAAGTCTCCAGTCTTTGCACCAGATGTGTTCTAACTTTTCATAATTTATTTCAAAATACTCAAGGGCCACAAGAATCAGGGATCTTTTTAAGAAAAGTTCAAAGATATATTGCAATTATTTCATTTTGTTTTACTCACAATATACAATTCTGACTTGTTATTTTACATCTGCAGTCCTATTGAGATAATCTTTAAACTAATATTTAATCATTCTTAGGTCAAAAACAAATAAATAATTAGAGCAGAGGACACCTTCTTTTCCTCAGGAGGGTACACTGAAGAATTTTACATATGTGTATATGTGTTCCTGTGTGGACATAGAATTAGCCATATCAGCTGTTTGCTATGGTTTATATCTCATTGTTTCATAGTGTTTTACACAATAGGTAAAGGGTAGTCTCTAATTGTTTTAATCACCATTTTTTGGTGGAACAGAGATGGAAGAGGTATTAGCAAGGCAGTCATTTGTTAGCATCCTTCCATGATGATGTGAATCAAGGAGGAGGACTAATACCCTGCTGTGTGACCAGCACGCCCTTGTGGGATTTTCTTTTTTTTTTTTTTTTTTTTTTTTTTTTTTACAGTGTCCTGTCTGGCAATGTGGCAATAAGAATAATTGTCTTGATGCCAAAAAGAGCCCAACAGATTTTACTTTCACAAGTGTAGCAGTATGGCAATTGCCATATCGCTCCACTTGTTTCATGCATACAAATTGCTTTATTGTGGGATTTTCTGGTTTAAAAAAAGAAAACATTGTAAGCCGTTTTTACACTAGACTTTTCGGTTTTAACTGAACCCAGATACAACATGAACATTTAAAAGTGAAAAAATACATATTTCCATGTAATGACTCCTTTAAATGGTTGTGTCAAATGTTTTAAAAAAGAAGTTTTCTAATGTTTTAAGGCTTTATTTTCTATTCTTATGTTTAAAAAAAAACTCTGGCAATGGAGCAAGAACTGGACATGGGTCTCTCTTTCTTTGAAAATGCTTGCTATACCAAGCAATCTTTGATAGTTAGGAGCTTTTAAAGGCCATATTGAAAGCAAAAGCAAAAAGAGTGGTTAATAAAATAAAAGCATTTTTTTAAGTTAAAACTTTTCATTTTAAGATTGGATCTAATTTCTAGCCCTTGAATCCTGAACGTGAAGCACATTGGTTAATGTCTTCCCTTTTTCTGTCTCTGGTCCTATCCTGTTGCTGTACTGAAAATAAAGGCAAAAAATTTCACACACACAAAAAAAGGGACAGTTTTTTATTCTAGGAAATATTTTTGGAACTATGACTAGTGTTGTTGTCAAGACGCTACCAACTGAGACCAAAGAGTGCTGAGACCGAGACAAGGCCAAAACCTTTAGAGGTCAAGACCAAGACAAGGTCTTCGATTTTATTAGTCTCAGTTGGTAAAAACTGCAACACTAGCTATGGCAGAGAGGTGTGGGAACTGCATTGCACGGCAGAAAGCACTTGGCCTGGGAATTTCTCTCCCTGATCAGCATATTATAAACACCAGACGAGTCCAAGTCAGAGCCAGAACCATCACCACCTTATTTGGACCAATGGTTTTAGAAAACGGCACAAAACCATCAGATCATAGAATCAAAGACTGTTTACTGTACTGTTGATCACAGTGATAACATTTCATCTTTAGTTCCAACTTTCTGTTATAGGATTCAATTCAGTTCAATTCAAAAATACCTAATGAATTCTATAGGGAATTAAAGCTGTTTTTACTCTTTTTTTCAACATGGAAGCTATGATGATCCTTACAATATCTTAAAGAAAAAAAAACTTTCTTGAAGTCCATAAAATCAAAATAAAATAAATCTGTACTTTTAACTTAAAAAAAAAAAAAAAAAAAAAAAGGTTTGAGAGATTAGATTGATGTACGATCAGGAAAACTACCTGTAGCACTTGTCCGTCAGGAGTAATATTGAGGTCGTCATCTGTAGACCCTGAGCAGCCATTTTTTACATTGTTTGGTCTTTCCTTTGGGGAGAAAATGTGTAAATCAACCAGAACGCTTTTAATAGGACTTTGTTATCGTTATGAAAGCATCAGCTGCATTAAACAGCGTAGACTGTGTTTACTCACAACAGGAAAAAAAAAAAAAAACTGATGTATTGATCTGCGTGGGTGCAGACTGTACTGTACATGTGCTTAAGATGTGCCTGAGGGTCACTGTGTACCTTTATTACAGGATATATGGCCCATGGAGGCAGGATGTGGTCTCTGAGCGTCCCACAGGTACACTCTGTTGGCTCCAGGGCTGCACATTCATCATGACGCTGGTGAAAACAAACAGGAGTTACATCAAACCTCAGTGTGGTCGTGACCAACACAATCCAGCTTAGCTTTTGAGAGATTTCTCTCTTGTTTGGTTCGCTGAATGTTCACGATGCTGAAAACCTGAGATGAGCAGTAACTAGTTATGTTTAACCAGTTATATTTACTAGGCTAATTTTATTTTAACCACTTCTAGGAAACATTTTAGAGATTAAAACTATTTACTTCTGCTTTTAATATTATTTTAATGTAAAGCTATTTTACTTCTGCCTTTTGGAGGCCAAGTGAAGTCAGAATAATTTGCTTTAATCTAAAATATATGTAAATATCTGACCTAAAACAAATATTGTATTCAAAAGGTTAATATCATGCACACAATTTGGTTTTTAAACGTGATTCTCCTGCTTGAATTCATTGCTTGGTATTGATATTATTCATGTTAAAGATTTTTTTTGTTGCTGCATGTCCTCCATTTCTCTCAACTCCATTTCCTGACAGCTCACTTTTAAATAATGCAAAAATATATAAACACAGATAAATAATCTTCATACTTCTCTGTTTTTTAATAAAAAATGTTCACAAACCTAATCAGATGTTATGATCAACGGGTTACTAATTACCAGTGGCACAAAAAATGAGTAAACTATATATATATATACTAGAGGGGGCGCCACTACGATGTCAATCAATTGGACAATTGCTCTCATTTGATCAATATTGTTATCTGATGACAGTGAGCTAAAAATGCAAAGACAGAAGAAAAACATACTTACAGGGACACAAAAAGGAAAATGAAAAATTGACAAAGATATATATGTTTTATTTAGAGATAAAAATATTCAAAATGACTGAAATAAGTTAGGAAAGGTTTGATAAAGCTGCTAGTAAAAAGACAGGTTACTACTACATGCATGGATATACCACACTACCTGTGAAGTATTTCTTAAATCTTGCAATTAAAAAAATTTAAATTGAAGAAAAAAAGCTGCCATCAATAAAACCAGGGAAATGGATGGCAGACCATTGGTGATAGTTTAATCTATTGTCTTCTCTTTTATCACATTATTTAAAGAGACACATCCAAATTAAATCTGATATTTAACAGTGTTAGAGTTAGTCTAACCACAAGAATGTGAATGATTTTACTCAAAATGCAGTGAAATACTTCTTTACCATTTTAGTCTGGTTTCAGTATGGAGATCTTAGTCATAGTTTTAGCTCTAAACTGCTTTTAATTAAGATTAAGTCAGATTTTAGTCAGGAAGACTATTGGTTGGACTAAAAAAAAAATGACAAAAAAAAGCTCTGACTGATCACACTTTCTTTTTTTCTACAAAGCAAAATAAAATTCAGCCACTTGAAATCTTAGCCAGATTTTCAGGTTTCACTGCAGGCAAATGTGATCGAATCCTATTTTTCCCCACATTTGACTCTAAATCCTAATATCCTGAATACTCATTAATACAGACTCTTCTCCAGTACAACAGTGACGGCTTCACAAAAGCACATTCTGAAACGCTCTGCTCTCTTTTTTATCACCTTTCTTTGCCTAATAGCACCGACTGCCGTTACTCAGCATCTTATAAATCAGACATGCAGACATCAGTAATGATCTCCATAAACGTTTTGCTGCTGTATGACGTCTACATAGCTCTACTGCGAAACGTTTGGACTAGAGTCTGATGGTGGCTGTATTTAAATAGCAGTCTGAACGACCATGCACAAAAAGGTGGATTTCAGCAAAAACATTAAAATTAAGCATCATGACCTGCAGCATGAAATAGCCAAAGACTGTTTTTCCACTGCTGGCAAAGAAGCACAGGCCTCTGCAAAGTATCTAAGGAAGATTTAGGGCATAATTTATTTCAGAAAATGAGAAAATATTGTCAACAGATATCCTTGGTTTAAGGGAGATGTATATCCTCTCCTTAGATGAGTAGAAAAAGGGTCTGGCCTCATTTTGGTCAGAGACATCCTGTATCAGTTTCATAAAAATTACTTTCCCCTATTTGTCTTGTATTATTCTCACACACAATTATTAAATGTGGTCAAAGGGTTTCTCTTTTCATCTGTTAAGTTGTGACCAGGGAAATTAACCTCTGTGATTTGTTAGAAGTTTATTTTTCACTGAGCATTTTCAATCAGTGGAAGTGGTTCTCTTTAAACGAGGAGACCTCCAGTTCAAACATTATGTTTGAGTGTTGCAGCCATGTTGTTTTTCTATCTGTCAGCTGCTGCTAAAGGGTCAAACTATGTGGAAGCTTCATGTTCCTTAGAGGCAGCATTTCTGCCAACATTTTTTCTGATATGTTGATGTAATCCATCTTGCTCTCCACACATTGCAGGTTTACAGTCGAAGAGAAAGTAAAAACAAAAGTGACAGAGCATCACTCAGTCTCAACCGTGCTTTACCTCAGGCTTTGTTCATTCTTCTCCACACATTCAGCAGATATTTAGGCCTAAAATCTGAGCAGAAACCTGGACATGACTACTTTTTGAGCTTTTGGTTCATCTTGCTTTTCAGGCATGGAGGCCTTCATATACCTTAGCATGGAAACCAAAACCATGTGGCTGATAACTTCAGTTACATATTTTTGGTTGTAGTTGAGAGTTTTTGATCAAATCCAAAGCTTAGTTATATTTGCTCTGTTATGTTAAGCACATCTGATGCACTAATGAAGCACCTGACTGGTTTTATGAGGAGGTGCATAAGGTTAAACTTGATTTTAAAACATGTCTTCTTGGGAAGAATTAAATTCAGTATGTGGAGTAAATTACTGATGAATATGAGATTTAGTTTTGAATGCAGATTAAAAATATATAAAAATATTATCTTTAGTTTTTAACAGAAATAACTATGAATTTGAGTTGGAAGTTGAACAGTTTGGATCACAAAAGTCTAAAAATTAAGCCATAATGCAGAAAGATGGTTACTTACCATCGTGTGGCACCACACACAGTGTTTCCCTGTTAAACCTTGGAGGCTCTTGATCTTCTTTTGGCATCTATCACACTTTCTTGAATCACAGTTCCCACTCACCCAGTCATGCACTGGAACCTGTAAAGTGGGAGGCAAGAAGTATATATTTATTAAATGAAATCAAGTCCAATTCAAATTGCTTTTATGTTGTTTTTCTGATAAAACTGTGATAGAAAGGCAGCTTACCCCCGTTTCTTTCTTTGACTTTACGTACGTCCTGGCACAGGGAGCTGGGTTCTTGTTAGCACACCGCCCATGAACTGTGTATTTACAGCCTGCGCAACATGACACACAGAGTGAGTGTAAAAAAAAAACACTTTGGGTTTTTTTTTTAAGAACATTTTATTTTTTCTGTCATTCAAACTGAATATTTCCTGAAACAACTGTTGAAAAAAATACAAATAAGAATCAAGTAAAAATAAATAAAAAAACAATCATGAATTAATTAATAAAAAAGAAACTAGAAACATAAAAAAACTAAACTAAAAAAAAGGATTACATTATTAAAAAACAAATCGTTTATCTCATGTCAGAAAGCTTTCTTCAACCTACTTGAAAAATAGATGTGCTTTGACCATTTGTCATCTCTGTTTAAAAAGATCTAATTCAATTTAAATAAATAATTAAGTAACTAAATTAATAAATGAATGAATAAATAAATAAATAAAATAAAGGATTTAAATAAAAGATTATGTTTTTTTTATAAGTGTCACTGCATTATCGCCCTCTTCTGTTGAATTCAGGTACTTACAGGTGCAGCACAGCCCCTGTTTCCTCAAACCCAGCAGCATGCTTTGACACACGTTGCAGTAAACAGGCTTGTTGAAATTTTTCATCCTCCAAAGGTGCTGCCCGTCTTTTTGGGTCATCTAATCAAAAAGGGGAAAAAAAAATGTTATTACTTTCATTATCATAAAAAAAACAAAAACAAAAAAACATGCAATTTTGGACTAGAAAAGTAAAGGTTTTCAAACCTCAGCAACCTTTTTAAAAATATACATTTTTTGTTTTTAATTGAATTTTAATCTGTCTAAATGATTTGATAATCCTGGACAGTGAGTGGATATGACTTTGGTTTGTCTAACTTCCCTGGTATTACTCTATAATAATTGTTGCCATATATATAGACAAAATGAAACAGAATTTCATAAATCAGTTTTCGTCACAATCATCACTTATTTAGGTTAAATTTAAACCACTCTGACGACACTATTCACAGCAGCACATTGTAAATTTTTGAGATACAACACTAACTGCAGTGATTTTATGAACACAGCTGTGCAATTGGATTCAATCTGTCTAAAGAGCAGCCAGAGCTTTTGTGCAGATTGCCCACTAAAGTGCCTTCTTTTAATGACATAATGTATCTGCCAATCATCCGCGGTATGAGGTAGAATGGGCAGCAAGTGGCAACTGTGAGGGGGATGAATTTCCACACCCCGGGCTTCGAATGTCTGTGGCTAGAAATAGCCAAAGGGGAAGTCCCTCGCATTGTCTTAGAGACCACTGGGCAGAGTCTAGCTTGTGGTTTAACGTTGATGCAGCAAGAAAGCACTTATTCATATTCAGTGCAATGCATTAAACAGGACTCACTGCAGTAATCTGATCTGTTACTGTGCTAAGATGATTGTTTTCTAGTGTATTACAAAACATATATATATAATATACATATTTTATTTAGCTAAATATAGAATTTTGCCAGAAAAAGTTCATAATTTATGCTGTAACTTTGATGGTGCTAAGTAGGTGGGAAAAAGAATAGCAGCATTATGATGGTGCAAAGGCTTGCATGAGGGGGGATGACATTACCACACCCTGTAACACTGAGTCGGCATAAAGGCCCTTAGAGGCAGGGAGGAGGAGATAAAGGACAGTGGAGCCGCAATACAAGGCCAGGGCTTCAGATCATTGACAGTTAAACACCTGCTGTAAAAATCCACCATGTTCAGCTCTGCCTTCAGAGTCCAAACCACATAAAAAAAGAGGCTTGCAGCAGTAAACGCACCTTTAGACCCAGCAATACGAGCAAAGGGACGTTGTTCATGCCTCCCTCTACCCACTCATCCAGAGACACTGTGCCGCTGCAGTCGGCATCAATCGCTGTCATCATGTCCTTCAGTACCTGATGAAAAAAGATTCAGTCGTTACTTTCTGTTCTACTTACCACTGCTGTGAAAAAGTATCTGGGTGACAGGGTCCTACTGTTTTTGTCCCTTTTCTCACACAAAAATGCTTCATCTTATCTGATACCTTTTATCATCAGACAAACATAGACAAAATAAATGAAAAAATACAGTTTTCACTCATTAAGGGGGGAGGGGCAATCCAAACCAAAGTGACCAATCAATAAATAACATAAATTTTGCTCAACTAATTTACTTTTGTCCTATTTGACAGGTACAACCAAAACCCTATTAAAGCCTGATCTCTTTCCTTAGATAGAAAACATTTAATTGTCTGTATGATTGATTTAACTATCTCTATAAAGTACCTTACGATGAAATATTTTATGAATTGGTACTATATAAATTAACTAAACTGAAATCTGTTGAACCACATTCAAATGGAACCTAACTGGCAACATGAAGCAGGCAAAAGGATGTAAGGAGTCGTTGTTGTCTGTCACTCTGGAAAGGTAAACAAAGCCATTTCTTAGTCTGTGATAGTTAAATTATCTACAAATAGAAAATAGGAAAAAGATATTCCAGCAGAGGACAGCCAAGCAAACTACCCCCAAACTGTAAAGGTTATATAAGCAACGGTTCAAAAGAGAACCTAAAACAACATCCGAAGCACTGCAGGCCAAGGTTATTATCCTTAACTAAACTAAGGAAATAATGAAAATTAGAATTAAAAAACTATTTCATAACTAACTAAAATTAAAAAATTAAAAACTTTAGACTTCTTAAAAAAAAAAATAACAGTAATTGTAACTGTAACAAGAGTTTACAAAGCTAATTAAAAGGAAAACATTTTTAAATTGCAAAAAAAAAAATATATATAATATATACTAGAGGGGGCGCCACTACGATGTCAATCAATTGGACAATTGCTCTCATTTGAACCATATTGTTATCTGATGACAGTGAGCTAAAAATGCAAAGACAGAAGAAAAACATACATACATTGACACAAAAAGGAAAATGAAAAATTGACAAAGATATATATGTTTTATTTAGAGATAAAAATATTCAAAATGACTGAAATAAGGTAGGAAAGGTTTGATAAAGCTGCTAGTAAAAAGACAGGTTACTACTACATGCATGGAAGTCAAGTCTAAACAAAAATAAAAACTATTTAAACCTTACTGCAGGCTCCAGTATCATGAGTTACAATCAGTTCTCCTTTAAAGCAGAACTAAGTCCAGTTCAAGTCACGCTCCCCCTACAGGTCTTTTTAGAAAATGTGTTGCCCTCTGTGAGCTGCGTTCCCCACAGCTACAGCTAACTGTCTAAGCAGCTGGAATATGCATATCAAGATTAAATGTCTGAAGAGGTGGTAGTATTGTAAATGATTTAATGTAATGTGAATTGATCAAACGACAAATTAATCGGCTTCCTCCCACAGTCCAAAAACATGTCTGTTAGGTTATTGGCTTCTCTAAATTCTCCTTAGGTGTGAGTGTGTGCATGAATGGTTGTTTGTCCTGTTTGTCTCTGCCCAGTAGGCAGCTGTAGATAGGCACCAGCACCCCTCCTGACCCCACTTGGGATAAGCGTGGCAGGGATGGATGGACAAATTAACCATCTAGAACACAGGTGTCAAAGTCGTTCCAGAAAGGGCCGTCTGGCTGCTGGTTTTCTTTCCACCCAAGCAGTAGCACACCAGACTCCATTCATCTCATCAAGGTGAGTCTAGTCTTAACCTGATGACTTGATGGGATGAATGGAGTCTGGTGTGCTAGTGCTTGGGTGGAAAGAAAACCAGCAGCCACACGGCCCTTTCTGGAACGACTTTGACACCCCTGATCTAGAAGGAAATATCCTGAAGAAGAAGGTGTGACCACCATTTCATCATCTAAAGTCCAAAGCAATGTGGAGGTTCCACCAGGAAGTCCTCCTCATAATGGCCAAGAAAACAGAAAGAAGTTTTCAGCGTGGCCTAGTCAAAGTCCTGAGTTAAATGTGACTGCTGGGGTCGTTTATTCCAAACACACAACAATAAGGCTAAATTCAAAAACTTCTCCACAGTGATGAAAACCTCACTGTTTTTGTTTATATCCCACCAGAAACAATTCCTCTGATTGAATAAATTCATTGTTAATATAAAAAAGGAAGAATAATTTAAGGGTTCAACAATAGTTAAGACTAAAGTGTAATATACTTTTTTGTTCCTTTTATAAATGAAGTATTTTTTTTAAATCTACTTTCTGTATTTAACTGAGCTATCTGCATTGATATGAAACATTTAAGTGTGACAGAATAAGCAACACCTGAATCTGAATGGAAGCCAGTTTTTACTTACGGTACCGTAATACTGTGTGTCCCCTGAAACTAGTCATCTAAATAAATCTAAAAGTTTTTCATAAAGAACTTCTTACTCTGATTATTGCTGTATAAAAAAAGTAATGATGCTTTAATGTGTGCAATTTTACTCCATTTGCAAAGTGTTTGCACACGTTAATTTATGAACAGCACATCTGCAGGTTGAAGCTCTGCATTCTGGGAATTACCGGTTCGAGTTCGGAAACGTCCCAGTCGAGATATTCGGCAGCATGCATCATTTGAGCTATAATTCGATCTACTTCCTGTTGAGTAAAAGAAAAGTCAGTTACACCTGATATGATTCAATTATGACATTTGAACTTACAGTGAACAATTTATTAAGCAACTTACAGAGCTGTCAAGGACTCCATTGCCATCTCTGTCATAAAGCCTGAAAGCAACTGGAAAGAGAGAGAGGAAATGAAAGTGGAACCTCTAGCTCGTTGTTTCTGACCAGAGTAGAAACTAACGGCTTACACTCCAGTTTGTCCCTGGGTTGGCCATCTTCCAGCAGAGAGAAGTAACATGAAACATCCTTGAGGTAGACTTCCTCTATGGGAGAGATGGGAGGAAAGAGAGCAGGCTGTAAATGCTGTGGTTGCCATATCTACACAAACAGTCCTGAACAGACATCCAGGGAGAAATGACTCTGCGCCAAACAGGCCCTAATGTAAATTGATAAGAGCCTGCTGCAAAGAGCAGGCAATGAGTGGCTTGAATGCACGGTGTCAGAATAATCTCACTTGTGCCGTCTTCCTTGGTGGATTCAGAGTTTTGGAAGGAGCGGAAAAGTCGCTGGCAGAGATCTGAGGGGAAGTCCACTTCTAGGTAGGTCTTTAGGAACTGCCGAAAGCCTTCCTCATCGATACACTAGGGTAAAATGAATGAGTTGTGTTTAGTAGCTTACAAGCATATAAAAAAAAAAAAAACGTGTAACTCCCCTTGTGTGTTTGGGTTGTTAACTTCCTTTTTTCTAATGCAACTCCTCTTAAAATAAGGGAAGAAGAACATCACATATTGCTAAAGTTTCTTGCTAACATATCACAATAATAACCCTGAAACATGTTTGAAGGCTCTTTGTGGTTTATGTGAAAAAGCTTTATGAAGCCTCAGATAATAGCCATACGCATCGCCTGCTTCTGCCTTTCTGCATCTTTTTAGACTTCAACATCAAGCTCAGTGTGTTTTATTTAAAGTTCATAATTGTTGGGTGGAAACTAACCGTTATGGTTTGTTTATCCATTCTGTCCCCATGAGTCTAAACCTTCTCTTGGGGCATATCTCCAAAATCTTCACCCATTTTTTCTATCTAAAACAGCCCAAGCTCAGTCAGTGTTTGTGAAGATAATCATTGGACCAATCAAACATTTAATGGCTTTAATACCTGGAGGTTTAGGGCTGTTTTAATGCTACAACCAGAAATTACTCACTAACTTTAAGTCTTTTGCAGCTTCTGGCAAATTTACCTGAATATCAATGTGTATATAGCTCTAGCTGAATAAAAGCATCCCCACAGCATGATGCTGCCATCACCGTATTGCCCCCTGGGGATGTCCTGTTTATTGGTGTACATTGTTAGTTTTCCTGACCAAAAAAGTTTGGCATATAGACTGCAAAGTACAATTTTGTTCCCCTGAATAATTTTCCTTTAATCCATGTTCTATACACTGAATTCTAAAGATACCATGGGTCTCTTGCCTGCTCATCTGATAATTTTTTTTTAAATACTGCATAGTTAATTGACCTGGCAGATGGACTGGAATCACATGATATTATGCAGCAGGACAAAAAAAGCCGTAGTCCCTTGATGGTGGAGAACCACAAATCCATTTCATGTTGATGTTTTTCCCCTTTTCTCAGCTGATACGCTGCAGGGATGCCCCGGTGGCACTTCACACTCAATCGAGGCAGTTACATCACCAAAAACAAAGGAAATAATGTACAAGCAAAAAAATAAAATAAAATAACAGCAGAGAAAATAAAAAGAGCCCTATAACCAATACCTAATAAATCATTTTATTATTCAGTTGCATAGCATGGAAAACAATGTATTAGACCACCCATGTTGACCCATTATTTTCTACAGGTATAAACATTTAGAATAAGAAACTATAGAAACAAAGTTGGTGTATTTTTTTTTCCTCAACAAAATTTACTGATTACTGTTATTGCAAAAGCTTTACTTCAATGTTATTTTAGTTTTAAATTGAATGTACCTCATCAGTAATTACTAGCTTTGCTTACATGCAGATTAGTTAACAGGACCGTCTATTATTAGAGGATCTTTCATCGTTTAAGTTTATGTTTGCACAGCATGAGGAAAAGCAGCCTCAGCCTTGCTGCGTGGGCAAATCTAAGGAGGCAATTTACACTTGCAGCCTCGCTCAATAGCATCAGCTTAACGGCATGATCGATAGGTTGGAATTCTAATTAAGCAGCGCAGGATTATTAATAACGGACAAGATGCATGAATCATAGAGCCGTTTCACACTAAACAGCTGCGCTCGCTCTGATCATTTCGTTCCCCATGCAGCTAACATCAGTGTGGGCGAGGACTCGACCGACTGCAGCGGGACGCCCCGTCCCCTCACCTCTCCATGCCTGTGCTGGGCCAGCCTGCCATCTTTATCAAATTCCCTCAGCACGTCTTTCACCTTCAGGCTGCAGTCTGGAAGCAGAAACACAGAGGTCATACGGGCATGTACACATGTGCACTTGTGTAATTACTCATGAGAATTTGATTCCTTTGCGAGCAGTCATTGAAATTACATTTTAAAATATATTTAAATAGAGTATAAGCATATATTTTTATGACTGAGATACAAAAAAAAAAAAAAAAATAACAAGCGGTAGACTACTGGTGCTTCTAGATATGAGAAACCATGAGCGAGGGTAAATGAGCACGTGTGGGTGGAAGTGTGTGCGGGGAGGGATGTTAAGCGCTGCAGAAGCCGCCTGCTTGCCTGTCTGTCTGTACTCACATTCGATATACTGCTGAAGCTGGATAAAGTCGACAGGGTTCAGTTCCTTCACCTCTGGGTTTGTGGGGGTGGACATGGTGCCTGCTTCTGCACTAACTGCCTGCCTGTATACACAAAGGCGAGAGAAACAGTGAGATGTAGACAGAGAGAAAAGAGAAGGTGGGTGAACAGCAGACTGCTTCTTTTGTAAAACATAAAAGCATGGCTGCAAGCGAGAGATAGCATCTTCCTCATCTGACAAACGTAGAAAATCCAGAACTGCAGCTCGACAGAAAACTTTAAAAGACTAAACAGAAGTTTGTACACAGAAATATCTGGCATGATAAATTATTTTTGTAATTTTACTTTTATATAGTTTTCCACATATATGGTGCCTTGTAGAAGTATTAATTTAAAAGAACAAATTAATTAATGAAAAAAAAATGCAGTTTTGTTAAAAACCAACACAAACTACTGGGTTAGAATCAAATGGAAAAGAATAAAAAGTTTTTTTACATATAAAAATTCGTAAAGTATTAAATTTCTGGGATGCATTTATATTCACCCTTCTTTACTTTGGAACCCCTAAATAAAATCCAAAGCACCAAATGGTGTCTGGAAGTCACCCTATAACTTAATACAGACATGCATCTAATAAGCAAGTGTTCATTCTTAAGGACATTAATAACCTAAGCTGAAGCTGAGGGCCCCTAAAGGACAATTCATTTTTTAGGGTATTTTTGCATTTAGAATAACTTCTTTGTAAATTTATAAATAAAAAAAAAATGCATTTTTTTTCAATAATATATGCAGAAATTATTATACATGAAGATGAAAAATATATGGGCTTTGAGGCCAGAGTAAAACAGACAAGGAAGGACTCGTGCGGATTAGACAAACTTATCTTTGGAAAGCAGAGCTTGATATTTTACAGTTTATTTGATTTAAATATGACTGTCTTTATAAAATGTATCATTCCTTTTCATCAAAGCTATTTTTGTTTGCTGTTCTTCTTGCATTACAATTCATTTTTGCACATTTCTGTTGGCAGCTGAAACCAAAAAGTTTAAACCACATCACACCTTTATTGTTATTAAACAGCATATTAGATTATTTTATTGCTTGTGTTAACAGTAGATGATCCAAACAAACAGCTCTGCCAGAGATGCAATGAATTTATAGTGGGTGAATGAAAGATCTGACCATCGGACCAAAATCTAATCTTGCTTAGGGCCAAATCGAGGCTTGGACCGCCCCTGATGGAGATCTACAGCTTAGGTGCAAGAATCTGCTGACAGGACTTATAGCCTCAAATCTGTTATTTATGAAACTAGAGCAAGATAAAAGCCATTCGCAGTCTGTCCGAAGCGATTTAAGAGAGACAGCAAATATGTAAAAACAGATCTCTGGTCAGACGGCAATAAAATAGACTGTTTTCCCTATGTGTAAATCACTATGCCGTGTGATCCCTCTGAATATATCATTCCCATGTCAAAGTATGGCAGTGGGGGCATCATTGTCTAGGATGCTACTCTTCAGCAGAGACATGCAAACAGATAATAGTTGATGGAAAAATGGGTGGTGCTTAATTCAGGAAGGTGTCTTATTAGAGGCTGATGAAGACTTTAGACCTTAACCGGGTTAAGGTGTGATGAAGACCTTAACCAGGAGGCCAACGGCCCTGAGCATAAAGCCAGGTCTACCAGGAAGTGGTTGAGATCAAAGTGTTTTCATGTGCAAAAATGGCCCAGTCAAAGTCCATACCTAAATAGAATATTGAAACTTGAAAATGTTTAAACTAAGATGCGTTTCATCAAACTCGGCTTTGAGATATTTTGCAGAGAGAAATGATAACTATAACTATAACTATATAAAAATAGGCGTTGTTCCATCAGATTAAATCCTTTGAAAAAAAATAAATCCTGAAGAGGGTTTGAATACTTTTGAAAAGCTGCATTGTGTTGCATTTCCAAAGAATCAAATTCTTCCAAGCTTGCATATAAAATGTCTTTGTTAAGACTTCACACCATCAAAACATGCAGTTAGCCACTTAAAACTAGGTCAGGCAGAAATTATTTCAGCCAAACAGCACCCATGATACTTGGACTCTGGGGAGGCTTTGCACCCAAAATCTGTTTCATCCACTCCCTGGCCTAGATCAGCTTCCAAAAAAACATCAAACAGCAGCTGGTTAAGAAAATTAACCAGTGGTGTGGTCTGCAACAATTAGGAAATTAATGATTTGCATGCTAGAAAAAAAAAAAACGCTTTGGGTTGTGGAGGGGGGCTCCCCTTGCATTTCAAAAGGCAGAAACTTAAATGTCACCCAAAGCTGATGGTGAACAATGCATTTGAATATGTCACGTCGAAAGGAACTCAGGGCTGCAGCATGAAGCTCTCAAAGATAGTTTGGAGGGCCTGAACGAGCACTCGGATGATTTGTTACCAATGCTTTTACCAGCATTAGGTGTGCATTTAAACCCTAATGGAAGGAAAGTCCATAATGGCAGGAAAACATACACCTCATTAATGATTAAGGAAAGAGGAAAGGAATTAATGGACAGGTAACAACATCCTGTTTCACAGTGTCGTCATAGAAGAAACAGAAAAACAGATCAGTAAGAAATATACAGACCGATCATTACTGCAATGATGGAATACATAATGGAGTTAAAATACAGGGAATGGGATCTTTCCATCAGGTCTGTAACAACAGACGCTATAAAAGATAACACGTGCTTCTCTAATCAACTGATGCATTCCGTAGCTCAGGAAATGAATGAGCTAATATTAGTTTAATTGTGCAATGGGAGGAAATTGAATAATTTGTAAAAAACAAAGACAATATCCAGCTTCTGTCAAATAAAATTTGCCCATTAGACAAAAAAGATTGCATTTTTTAAGCCCTGCATACATTATATCTTCTATCTAGTGAGTCCTCTCTGAATGCAATCTATAGTTGATTAATGATTAGTTAAAAGAAAATATGAATGAGCATTTTCTGCTTTGCATCAGCATTAAAGAAGGTGCTAATGCAACATTTTTATTTATTTAAAACCCTACATGGGAAATTATAACAGTGTATTCCAACTTTTCTGGTAAAATAAAATGTGTCAGTGTTTGCATAAAACAAAGCAGTAAGAAACTTTAATGCCATCTGTTTACCTAAAGGCTATGGACCTGGATCCCTTCCAGTTAATTTACACAAAACATTAAGACTGTTAAAGAAAATGAACATTACAAACTCTTCACACTGACAAAGAAATGAAAAACAAGCTTTTATATGAATGCATCCGTATCAGTGGCACAAAATGAAAGCAAAGTGGACGATGTTTTTCATTGCAGGCTGATGAAAAGAGGCTCACTCTAAAGCTCTCCTTCACACTTTTGTCCCTAGGTTTTTATCACACATTCAACTGCAGCTGGTGCACAAATCCGTGACGGGTGCCTGCACTGAGCAGACAATCAGTCTGCTCAAACGACAAAAAAATGAACAGAGAAACCGATGGAATAATATGGAATACCATGAACTCCCTACATGCGATTTGGATGCATTTACTCTTTTCGGGCACTGAAAGGTTCACACTGTCCTCACTTAATTCCCTCAAAAGGTCAGCGGCGTTGCCTAGCAGTTCTGTTTGTGTGGCCCGATGAGGTTGCCAGAAAAGGGAAACCTGAAGGAATCAGGAAAATAAAATAGCTTGTGATCACAGACTGCTTAACACAATCTCCTGACTCCATCGTCGAGAAAGTGAGTCATAAACCGACTAAAAATAGCCCGCTAAATTTACTGTGAAGCTTTTGTTTTAGAAACGTCTGAATGATCTTCCTTTTGTTTTTGTCAGGAACAACACAGTATTTACAGCTGTAACCAGATTTTTACACACACTGTACAAAGAGAACCATAGTCTGTCAATATCTAACTATGAAATCAGACCAAAGTATTAATGTTTAAATGATTTATATTGGCTAAATGCTGGAGTAACATTTCCAGATTCACATATATTTCTTTTTTCAGCTTTTTATTGTTATTACACTGTCACAAGTACAGAGCAACAAAATTAACTCTGAATTTAACCCATCCCCTTGGGGAGCAGTAGGCTGCCATTACACGGCAGCCGGGGAGCAGTGTGAGGTTAAGGGTCTAAGCCCTAACCACTGGGCCGCCTCTCCCCATTTCCTTCGCATACAGTAGAGCCGACCTTTAAACTGTATTACATAGGTCAAATAATTTGTGTTTTCTTGCATAAACTCAAAGGTTTGCTGGGATTTTGGTCCAATCCTAATCTCTGGTGTCCCTGAGTCCAGTTTGTAGGCTGCCTTGCTCACACAGGTAGACCCACTTGCACCCAAGCTTTAACTTCCCTGTAGATATTTGGAGGTTGCCCTCATATTTTCCCCACATTTACTGTTCTTGTGATGGAGAAGTTCCTTAGTCCCTCCTGCAGCAAAAAAACAAACAAAGACCTCAATAGTTTTTGTCCCTGACTAGTTCTTATTAAGCTCCTTACATTACTCCTGGGAGCTTGTGTGGTGATGAAGTTGAAGCACTGTTATTTTATTTAAATAAAATAAATCTGCATAAGCCTCCAGAAGCAACATAACGTTGCGACAAGAAGGTTCTGGGTTTGGCCTAAGGTCTTCATGTATAGAGTTTGCATGCTTTCCCTGCATTCTTGGGTTCTCCCAATGCACAAGTTGCAGAGGTAAGGTGGATTTTGCTTGTAGAGTGATGGCTTCTACCTCTTTTACAGATATGTCATCCTGCGCCATGTTTCATTCAACATTTTTTTACTAACTTCTTGATTTTTTTTCTTTAGATTTTACATTAAAACAGGCAAATTCTTTTGCGTTTCTACTTGAATAAGTTGTTTTAAACAGAAAAGTGCTTCACTTTCACGCATATGAAGTTGTTTTTTAAAGATGAACCAAACTAATGGATGACACACTTCCCTGCATAATTTCTTTCCTGTTTTTCTTTTTATTTTCCATGATGTCATATACGGAAGTGTTGTGTTGGTGTAGTTCATTCATTTCACATCCTAGCCTCGATTCTTCTAAAGTGTTTAAAAGCACAGTTATCTTTCTTATGCAAACTGAAATCTAAGTAAGTCAAGTTTTCTTG